CCTCTTGAAGACAACTACGGGTCTTCCCGTAATGCCCCTTATTGCTGGTGGGAGGCTGTTGAACAGTCTTGGGCCCCGGACACTTATTGTGTTTTCTCTTAGTGTACCAGTGACGCCCCTACTTTTCACTGGGGGTATGTTGCATCGCCTGCCAAGTCTTTTGCTTTCGTATGGAGTGATTGCTGTGTGCATATTAGGGACCAGTCCCTCCAGAATCTTCCAGGTGTAGATTATGATATATCTCTCTCTCCTGCGCTCTAGTGAGTACAAGTCAAGTGCTTCCAGGCGCTCCCAGTAGTTAAGGTGTATGATGGAACTTATACGTGTAGTAAAGGTTCTCTGTACATTCTCTAGCTCTGCAATTTCACATGCCTTGAATGGGGATGTTAATGTACAGCAGTATTCCAGCCTAGAAAGAATAAGTGATTTAAAAAGGATCATCATTGGCCTAGCATCTCTTGTCTTGAATGTATGGGTCGCATCCTGGGGACAAGATTAACCCAAGTTACGGGAAATGTTGTGCATAACCAGGGACTTTCTATATAGTATGTCAGTGATGTCAGCTATGGTATGTATAAGTTGTATCACGTACTTGTAGAAATAATATTATTAATATTATTTTACAATAAATATTATTATTGTTATTCTTAATAATGAAATAAGGACAGAATATTACAGTAACATGCTATAAGAGGTCTTGATCAATCTACAAAATTGGTCTATGAAGTGGCTGCTGGTATTCAATCCCAGCAAATGCAAAGCTAAGAGGGCATGCAGGTCAGGTGCTGATTTTAGGTGCCCATCAAATATAAGAATAACATTCAGGTCTGTAAACCAGAAGACAGTCATATCACAGTACAAGGTCATAGGTAAGACCGGTACTAGAGTACGCTGCACTGGTATAAAGCCCGTCCTGCCTATATTTAAAGCTACCAAAAGTTCTTGACATATAATGCTACCTAAACGTCTCTTCCAGTCATTCTCTACCTTGAACCCACTACTGTGACTTCTACTGCTGTATAGCCCTTGTGGCTTAGCGCTTCTTTCTGATTATAATAATAATGTGACTTCTACCTTCACTGGATATTTTCAAAACGCTATTTATACCTCTGTTATTTATTCCTGTTTTACATTTATACAATGTAATAATTTCTCCCCTAATTCTAAGTCTTTTATAAGTTTGTGATTCATGGGATCAACTTTGTCATTCTCCTCTTTATATATAAAGTTGAAGTGTAACCTCAGGACTTCTATTATTCATACTTCTTAATATGAAGCCGAGAATTCTACTAACTTTATTGCGAACACTTATGCAATGTTGTCTTGGTTTTAAATTACTACTGTCCAAATTCCTAAGTCTTTCTCGCATTCACTTGGACTAACATCTACATTGTTTAGCTTATAAGTCTCATTCTTATTTCGTTTTCCAAGGATTAGAACCTAATACCTGTTTGTATTGTACTGCCTCTGCCACTTCTCCGACACCATCATTAATCTATCCAAATCATCCTGCAGCCTTCTAGTATATATTATAAACTATCTGACGGCCTATTTTAGTCATCGATAAACTGACACACGTCACTACTTATTCCCTCATCTATATCAAGGGTCCCAACAACGGACTCTGTGGCACACCACCCGCAGCAAGTCTCCATTCCGATTTTCCCCCCATTAATGTGAACTCTGTTGCCTATCGGTCAGCCATGCCTCGATCCAGGAGATAAATTTTCTCTCCTATTCCATGTGCTGCTACTTTCTTTATTATTCTTCTGTGTAAAACTTTATCAAAGGTCTCACCGAAGTCCATATACTCAATATATATTATTCACCATGGTCTACCGTTTAAAATGCCTTAGCAAATAAAAAAATGTTAGTAAATTAGCTTCGATGTTCAAACTGTGTATTTCACGGCGGATTCCAGCTGTTTACCCACAATTAAGGCTAATCTGATTGGTCTATAATTTATAAATGGGTCTCACATAGGTTTTGCATTTATCGGTCACGATACATGTTCGTAGTGTTCGGTTGAGGGGACTAGCTAGTGGTTTACGATACCTGTTCGTAGTGTTCGGTTGAGGGGACTAACTAGTGGTTTACGATACCTGTTCGTAGTGTTTGGTTGAGGGAACTAGCTAGTGGTTTACGATACCTGTTCGTAGTGTTCGGTTGAGGGGACTAGCTAGTGGTTTACGATACCTGTTCGTAGTGTTCGGTTGAGGGGACTAACTAGTGGTTTACGATACCTGTTCGTAGTGTTTGGTTGAGGGAACTAGCTAGTGGTTTACGATACCTGTTCGTAGTGTTCGGTTGAGGGGACTAGCTAGTGGTTTACGATACCTGTTCGTAGTGTTCGGTTGAGGGGACTAGCTAGTGGTTTACGATACCTGTTCGTAGTGTTCGGTTGAGGGGACTAGCTAGTGGTTTACGATACCTGTTCGTAGTGTTCGGTTGAGGGGACTAGCTAGTGGTTTACGATACCTGTTCGTAGTGTTCCGTTGAGGGGACTAGCTAGTGGTTTACGATACCTGTTCGTAGTGTCCTGTTGAGGGGACTAGCTAGTGGTTTACGATACCTGTTCGTAGTGTCCTGTTGAGGGGACTAGCTAGTGGTTTACGATACCTGTTCGGTTGAGGGAACTAGCTAGTGGTTTACGATACCTGTTCGTAGTGTTCGGTTGAGGGAACTAGCTAGTGGTTTACGATACCTGTTCGTAGTGTTCGGTTGAGGGGACTAGCTAGTAGTTTGCAAAGTTCCTGGTTATATTCCTCTACAAGCCTTTAAAACAACTCAGCGGGGTCGTGTAACCTGATGGATTCAATCCATCTAGATGTCTGAGAACCAAATCACTAGAGACTTTGATCTTGCATAATTAATTCTCGATTTGATCAGTTTAATTAGTGATTTCTGGGATTTTATGTGCACTCTTGTGTTAAAACATAGGAAATAAGTGTTAAAAATGTTGCACATATCTTTGTCACTAAGTATAAATTGACCTGAGTTACATTTAAGTGAATCTGTTTTGTCCTGATCCTGTTCTTATATTCCTGAAAGAAACTCTGTGTGTTGGTCTTAGATTCCCTCGCAGTCTAAAGTTTATATTCTTCGTTTTTCTTATTCCTTTCTCTACTTCTCTCTTAAATGGAATATATTGTTGAATAAGACGACCGTCGCTTCTTTCGTCTCATGTGTACATTCCTCTCTTTATCACCCAAGACATTTCTGAGTCTATCATTTACCCACTTAGTATCACTCATGTTTGATTTCAAAGCTCTATTAGCAACAAATGCAGCCTGGCCAACTTGGCCAGCTTGACCAGCTTGGCCAGCTTGTACAAGGTCTTGGAGAATGTCATGTTGACAACCACCAACACCTTCTACCAGGTCTCACAATAGTTGCTAGTCAGGTTACCTCAACACTTCCCAGGTAATACTTTAGTACTAATCTATAGTGTGAAAATTGGGGATCTTAACTTTGCTATCATTATTAATGATAATAGACAAATAGAATAAGGATAATAGACAAACATAATAAGGATAATAGACAAATATAATATGGATAATAAACAAATAGAATATCTTTGGATTGGATGTAGAGGAGACCAAGTCCAAACATGGATTAAAAATACATAGAAGAAGAAGAAGAAGAAGAGGAGGAGGAGGAGGAAGAAAGATTTTTATTGGGATTATCAATCCGTGGGGGTCGATACTTCAGGATTACTCAAGTTCACTATCACAGATGCAAGATGGACGAATACAGCGAATGTTTCAAACTTGCTTAAAAGAGTTCCCAGTGAAAAACTAGGAGGTACTGTTATTGTTGTGGAGGTAACCAGTGGGTGTCTGGAGAAGTTCTCTGAGGCACACATGTTGTGATCTAACACACTACAGCCTTAAAACTGATAAAAAACACCTTTAAAACAATCACGACACACACACACACACACATACACACACACATACACACACATACACACACATACATACACAAACACACACACACACTGTGTACGACCAAGACTGCAGCTTTAATGAGGCGGGCTCAGGTCTGTGCACCTCGGGGAGCAGCACAGGTTCTTGTTGCTCACATACTTGTAAAAACAAGAGGGCGTGTGCAACCACCCATCACACAAACGTACACAAGTTACCCATCACAGACGTACACACCTACCCATCACACACACATATATAACTAACCAGAGAAGCACACGACTACCCATCAAAGAGACGTACAAAACCATCACACATACACCCTACCCACAGACATACCCAATCATTCAACAGACAGTGATATACAAGCACCCACCACACACACATACACAACGACACAGAGACGTGCATAATTACCCATCACAGAGACGGAATCATCTACCCATCACTGAGATGTACACACCTACCCAACACACAGCTGTATAGATACCCATCACATAGACGTACACAACTGGCCATTACACTGACGTACACAACTGGCCGTCATACTGACGTACACAACTGGCCGTCATACTGATGTACACAACTGGCCGTCATACTGACGTACACAACTGGCCGTCATACTGACGAACACAACTGGCCGTCATACTGACGTACACAATTGACCATGACACTGACGTACACAACTGGCCGTCATACTGACGTAACACAACTGGCCGTCATACTGACGTACACAATTGACCATGACACTGACGAACACAACTGGCCGTCATACTGACGTACACAATTGACCATGACACTGACGTACACAACTGGCCGTCATACTGACGTACACAACTGGCCATTAGTGAGAATTATAATCTCACAATGACCGAGGCATCTACCACAGTATTTCCTTCAAGTGTCAACGTTATCCTCGACTCCGGCAGCTCCGGCACAGAGGGTTAGCACTGGGGCACTCCGCCTCCACCCTCACCTCCTCCTTCAGATGCCTTGTCCTTCCCGGAGGAGGAGGAGAAGCAGGAGGAGGATCAGGAGGATATATAACACAAATGCAAAACGCAAATCACTGACGGGCGCGACAATTGGCTGAACGAGAGGCACGATGCCACCAACCTTCTCCCACAGAGTCTGGTTTGGCACTGGTCGCCAGGCGAGGACTGGGGCCACGGCTCTCAGGTGAATAGCAGAGGCAACAGTGAGGGAGGCAGGGAGGGAGGCAGGGAAGAAGGCAGGGAGGGAGGCAGGGAGGGAAGCTGGGTTGGGAGGCTGGGGAGGGAGGTAGAGGCTGGATGAGAGTGGGAGGTTGTAGACGGAGAGGAGGAGAGTTGGGAGCTGGTCAGGAGGGTAGGAGGGATAGGACGGGTGATAGTAGGAGGGAGGAAGGGTACAAGGGGGAGAGAGAGAGAGAGAGAGAGAGAGAGAGAGAGAGAGAGAGAGAGAGAGAGAGAGAGAGAGAGAGAGAGAGAGAGAGAGAGAGAGAGAGGAGGGAGGGAGGGAGGGAGGGAGGGTACAAGGGAGCGAGAGAGAGAGAGAGAGAGAGAGAGAGAGAGAGAGAGAGAGAGAGAGAGAGAGAGAGAGAGAGAGAGAGAGAGAGAGAGAGGAGAGGAGAGAGAGGAGGGAGGGAGGGAGGGAGGGAGGAGGGTACAAGGGAGCGAGAGAGAAGAGAGAGAGAGAGAGAGAGAGAGAAGAGATGAGAGAGAGAGAGAGAGAGAGAGAGAGAGAGAGATGAGAGAGAGAGAGAGGAGGGAGGGAGGGAGGGAGGGAGGTTACAAGGGAGCAGAGAGAGAAGAGAGAGAGAGAGAGAGAGAGAGAGAGAGAGAGAGAGAGAGAGAGAGAGGGAGGGAGCGATGGGGAGGTTTAAGGGTAAAGGATAAAGGGAGGAATAAAGGGATTGGATGAGAATGCATGTAAAAATGGAAAACCTTTTTGTATACGGTGAAGGTAACGACTAAAGATCTGAGTAAAAAAAAACGGAAGGTTCTCTTCTTCTTCTTCTCTGTTTTATTTATATAATGCATCATTAAGAAATTCAAAAATATATTATATTGAAAACATCATATATAAATCCAAATAGCCTCTAGGAATTCACAGTATAGAAAGCATTCTGGGCAAGTATTTCAAGAAATGTGGAAGTGTCTAGGAAGATACTATAGCTAGTTACACCAGGGAGGTACAAGACAGTGGCTTTCAGCACTTTGAGAAGGATCTCATCATTGTCCCACTCTCTGACTCAGTGCCACTCTTTGACTCAGTGCCACTCTTTGACTCAGTGCCACATGCTGGACTCTACACACTACCTTGAAGAGGCTGTGATGAGACTTACGTGGGGGAAACTGGGAGGAGTCTGTGAGTGAGAATGAATGAACAGAGATATTTACACAGCAGGGAAAGAGAAATTTAAGAGTGCCTGTGTGACCCACAGTGAGATATATTTTAGTTTATATGCAGTTTACTTAGATCCATTTTTACATCGCCCACTCACCTGGCTCACACTAGTCTTAGTATAAACCTTGGTATTAGATACCGATAAAATTGCCTTTGAAAGACACGTGAGCAAACACTAGAACATATTAGAAAACGTTTCGGTCCTGGGACCTTGATCATTTCTAACATACAGAGGTTAAAAAGACAGTATATATAGGCGGAGAGTGAGGTGTGGGTGAGACATGGTGACCTGAAGAATTCAATATTGGGATGAGGACAGGTAGACAATGTGATCATGTGACTCCTGTGTTGTTAGCTAGGTGGTGCCTTGCCTGGTTGGGTATCATGTTTGCTAATGTTAGTGGTGGACAAACAAACAGCATCAGGAGTCGTGTACCTTCAGAACAGCAGGCGACCTCAGGTAAGACCTCAGTCATCAGAGGTCCTGTCAGTAGACCATCCAGTTCTTGGTATAAGCATCAGCAAACGTGATACTCAAGCGGGCCAAGCACCACCTAGCTAACAACACAGGAGTCACATAATCACGTTGTCTACCTGTTCTCCTCCCACTATGGTATTCTTCAGGCTACCAGGTGTCACCAATATACATGTATACTGTTTTTTAATATATTTTTAACCTATAATAATGGATTCAAATAAGTTTAGATTTAGAAAGGATATAGGAAACAATTGGTTTGGAAAGAGGGCTATTGAAGCTAAAACCTTGGCTAGTTTCAGATTAAGTTTGGATAAATACATGAGTGAGAGGCGTTGGATTTAAGTGGGACTTGGACATGAGTTAATAAGAAGGTTATTAAATCTTATTGGTCGGGTAGCACTGAAAAAACATCGGGGAAATGTTTTAGTTAGTGAGTTTTGTTTTTGAGGAAGGCCTGCCTAGTATGAGCCAACAGGCCTGCTACAGTTTTTCTCGGTGTGTTAGAAGTGATCTAGATCCCAGCAACGAAATGTTTTCTAACAAATATGTCCTAGTATTTGCTCACGTGTCTTTGTTAAACCACGCTAGTCTTGACCACGCTTCCTGACACGGCCGCCAGGTGGCAGCACTTCTACACAGCTTAACCTAACCTTCAGTTGAACCTGACCTGACCATCACACACACACACACACACACACACACACACACACACACACACACACACACACACACACACACACACACACACACACACACACACACACACGTTATTTAATAACTAGAAATCAATACCTTAAAGAGGGATAACGACTCAGACGTAAGGACAAGCTTGAGGAACCTCCATAACAGTGGGGAAGTGTGTGGGGGGGGAGATGTAGGGAAGTGTGGGGAAGTGTAGGGGGGTGGGGGAGGTGTAGAAAAGTGTAGGGAGGTGTAGGGAAGTGTGGGGGGGAGGTGTAGGGAAGTGTGGGGAAGTGTAGGGGGGTGGGGGAGGTGTAGAAAAGTGTAGGGAGGTGTAGGGAAGTGTGGGGGGGAGGTGTAGGGAAGTGTGGGGAAGTGTAGGGAGGTGGGGGAGGTGTAGAAAAGTGTAGGGAGGTGTAGGGAAGTGTGGGGGGGAGGTGTAGGGAAGTGTGGGGAAGTGTAGGGAGGTGGGGGAGGTGTAGAAAAGTGTAGGGAGGTGTAGGGAAGTGTGGGGGGGAGGTGTAGGGAAGTGTATGGAAGCGCAGGGAAGGTGTAGGGAAGTGTGGGGAGGTGTAGGGGGGTGTATGGAAGCGCAGGGAAGGTGTAGGGAAGTGTGGGGAGGTGTAGGGGTGTGGGGAGGTGCAAGGAAGTGTAGATATGGTGTAGAGAAGTGTGGGGAGGTGTAGGGAAGTGTAGGGAAGTGTAGAGATGGTGTAGGGAAGTGTGGGGAGGTGTAGGGAAGTGTTGAGAAGTGTAGAGATGTTGTAGGGAAGTGTGGGGAGGTGTAGGGAAGTGTATGGAAGTGTAGAGATGTTGTAGGGAAGTGTGGGGAGGTGTAGGGAAGTGTGAGAAGTGTAGAGATGTTGTAGGGAAGTGTGGGGAGGTGTAGGGAAGTGTAGGGAAGTGTAGAGATGGTGTGGGAAGTGTGGGGAGGTGTAGGGAAGTGTAGGGAAGTGTAGAGATGGTGTAGGGAAGTGTGGGGAGGTGTAGGGAAGTGTAGGGAAGTGTAGAGATGGTGTAGGGAAGTGTGGGGAGGTGTAGGGAAGTGTAGGGAAGTGTAGAGATGGTGTAGGGAAGTGTGGGGAGGTGTAGGGAAGTGTTGAGAAGTGTAGAGATGGTGTAGGGAAGTGCAAGGAAATGTAGAGGAAAATAGAAGTGGTGTGTATTATTATTACATTCAGAGTCAAGCGCTAAACCCATACGGGTCATATAACGCCTGAATGATGAGGGGCAATCAGGTTTGATGAAGGGAAGAGAAGCTCCAGTTCCTTGGAATAAAGGCCCTTAACCTGCATCACCACCTCTCCTCTCCTACCTCGAACATACGTGGTGGATATATTAACCAAACAATATACACCAAGACATGCATATGACGATATATTCAGAGTATAACTCTGGAGTATGTTGAGGCGAAGAGCTTCGCCATACACTGGCTTTATCAGTCCAATACATAGATGAACAGTGATGATGGACTGAACACATCTATTCCAGGCTGATGGACGGAACACATCTGTTCCAGGCTGATGGACGGAACACATCTGTTCCAGGCTGATGGACTGAACACATCTATTCCAGGCTGATGGACTGAACACATCTATTCCAGGCTGATGGACTGAACATATCTATTCCAGGCTGATGGACTGAACACATCTATTCCAGGCTGATGGACGGAACACATCTGTTCCAGGCTGATGGACGGAACACATCTGTTCCAGGCTGATGGACTGAACACATCTATTCCAGGCTGATGGACTGAACACATCTATTCCAGGCTGATGGACTGAACATATCTATTCCAGGCTGATGGACTGAACACATCTATTCCAGGCTAATGGACTGAACACATCTCTTCCAGGCTGATGGACTGAACACATCTATTCCAGGCTGATGGACGGAACACATCTGTTCCAGGTTGATGGACTGAACACATCTATTCCAGGCTGATGGACGGAACACATCTGTTCCAGGCTGATGGACGGAACACATCTGTTCCAGGCTGATGGACTGAACACATCTATTCCAGGCTGATGGACGGAACACATCTATTACAGGCTAATGGACTGAACACATCTATTACAGGCTAATGGACTGAACACATCTCTTCCAGGCTGATGGACTGAACACATCTATTCCAGGCTGATGAACTGAACACATCTATTCCAGGCTGATGAACTGAACACATCTATTCCAGGCTGATGGACTGAACACATCTATTCCAGGCTGATGGACTGAACACATCTATTACAGGCTAATGAACTGAACACATCTATTCCAGGCTGATGGACTGAACACATCTATTCCAGGCTGATGGACTGAACACATCTATTACAGGCTGATGGACTGAACACATCTATTCCAGGCTGATGGACTGAACACATCTATTCCAGGCTGATGGACTGAACACATCTATTCCAGGCTGATGAACTGAACACATCTATTCCAGGCTGATGAACTGAACACATCTATTCCAGGCTGATGAACTGAACACATCTATTCCAGGCTGATGGACTGAACACATCTATTCCAGGCTGATGGACTGAACACATCTATTCCAGGCTGATGGACTGAACACATCTATT